CAAATGTTGTCCAATGCTTTGAACCTCTGGATGTCAGCCTCTCTGTGACTGACTGCTGCTTTAAAGTACCATTTCCCCAGAAACTGAAATAGACGGAGATACAGAGAGGTGTCATAACAGTGTGGGGTTTTAACAGTATGGGAACAGAATGAAATGAGCCTACGACTTGCGGCAAAGACCACTTACGGAAAGAACAGAGGGAGTGGAAAATGTGTCTGTGTGGCCGCATCTTATCTTGGTTAATCTCTGTGTATTTGCATTAACTGAAATGCCAGCGCATTACACACATGCACAACCAGAGGGTATATATTAATTAAAATGAGGTTAAATGCATATATCACAAATTAGCCTACAAAATGTGTCATACAATTCACTTTCCCTTGAAAGTCATCCAAATCAAATTGCCAGTGACAGAAATAAAACAATGTTTTTGCTCTGACTGTCATATTGGTTATGATATGTGAGTGTTTGCATTTGGATAAACAGAAAATCTAAATTTAGTTTCTCACCTTCTGGCGGTCCACAGTGTTGGCAGGAAACAGTTCAGGAACTGAGCATGGTACTATGGCCTGATACAACAAACTATAAAAATAGAGAAAATATGACACTGCTTCTTTTAACATAACTGCAACCTAAGAGCTAATCCTTGACAACGAACCTGATCAAAATGTCAGTTAATCCTCAGGACACTCATGTGGGTGAGTGTGGGTGTAAGTAAATAATTAACAAGTATAGCTGCAATACCCCTGATAAAAGAGTTGAATAATAGTGTAAATATAGTGTCCCTGTGTCCTTTAATGTACAGACTCGACTTTAAGATAACACATTTATAGTAAAAAGTTTTACTCATGTTCCAAAATCTGCTCACAAAAAAGAAAAGCACTCTCCCAGAGGCCTACTGAGTCATCAGCATCATGTAGGAGGTGTTTTTTTTTCAATCACTTCAACTAAGCTATACCTAATTATAGATAGTTTCTCACCATTGGGAAGCAAACTAATATCATACTACAACCCCAAGTAGGCCTACCCATTTTGAAATATACTTGAAAAACAGAGTATTACTAATTTGTTTGAGTAGCCTATGGTCTGTCCTGACTGAAGAAGTCCCACACACTCTGTGTCAACACACATCGACTAGGAATGATTAACTAGGATACTTGTTTGAAGTTAACTGTGACTTTTTATCATCCTATACACTGGCAGGTTTTTGTCTGTATTTATCGGGTTTTGAGAAACATACCAGCTGTCACAATATGTTGATTATTATTTTTCAGTTAATCATTCAATCTTCTCATGAAGTGAACATATAGACTGAGATAAGGTTATTGTGTATGTATTTTCATAAGATGGTGACAAACAACAAGCCTGTCTGCATACATTATTCATATAAGCACAAATGTTGATGCCATGAGCTTCAAACATGGAACTGTGATTTCCAGGAGATAGGATTTTATGCAGATGAATCACATCTGCAAATGTTTTTGTTGCTATCTTGATGGAAATGTGTTGCCTATTGCAAACACAGATCATGCATAGGCTATGCAGTGACATAAATAATAGCCTACAATGCAGAATAATCACATTTAGATTTTTGTTTCATTTCAATCTGTTCCTCCCTATATTCTATGACTGCTTATCGTTCCTGCACTTAATTGTAAATAGTGTAGCCTACTAAAATTAGGTTAGCAGGGGTATTCTAAAAAACGGATCGAGTAAAAAATCAGAATAAGATAACCCTGAAATGAGGTACCGTGGTAGGCTGGCGAACTCTGTGAACCTCAACTGCTCGGTGGCAGGTTCTCTTCAAACTAATCCCAAGTTTCTCTCTGGGCCTTTCCGAAGTTACTTGCTACTCCCTCTCCCTATACTTCCACTCCGTTTGCGCATTCTTGCGGAAGGTCCGCCACATTGAGTGCCTTCTGAAACCAATGAGGGCAGAGTAGAAGTGAGTTGCTAAACCCTCCAATGCCAAGTGAGCATCATGGGTGAGCACCGTGCTGGTGTAACACCATAACCAAGTACTTTTAGTACCTAAACCCAACCAAGTACTTTTAGTACCTAAACCCAACCAAGTACTTTTAGTACCTAAACCCAACCAAGTAGGGGAGACCGGGGGCAATTGTAACACACTCAAGTTCTCCAAACAGAAACAAGCTAGAGTGATGACACTTAATCTGCACATGCTCAGTAGGATTCTCTCTCTGCCTGTGGAAAAGGAGCAGGATCATTTCAACTCAGCAGAAGTTTTTAACAAAATACTGATTTTGAGGTATGAATGTAGTTTTTGGATGTACAGTATTTTTCTTCTGGTGTCTAAAGTTTAAATTACTACAAATTTATACAAACATAGATTTCATCTCTAGGTTACTGATTAACAATTAACACTAACAAACTATGCTAGTATAGTTGTGGCTAACGGGCATACAAGATTTTATCATGGCTGCAACATTGGGGGCAATTGTAACACTGTGTTCACTGATGTTCCAAGCCACATGGCCCAATGTAAGCAGCTTGTTTGTCTGTGTTGACTACTTTTGTTAGAAAGTGGACATATTTCACTAACTGTAAATGTAAAACTACATTAAAAAAGGGTGTATTAAAAGAAATGGATTTTTTTCTAGTATAAACAAATCATCAGTTAACATAGGTCAACGTTCTTTGTATAAAATGATGTGTGTTTTATATGTGTTTAACAGAAAGTGTGAATGTTATATAAGCCTAAGTCTGCAATTTCAGTTTTTCTATATAGTGGATTTAAAGTAGTTGATTGTATAAGACCCAGAAAAACCAAAGAGAATGACTAGTTCACTTGTGAAAAGCAATTTTATGACAGAGAACTTAGCAGAGGTTGTCAGACATCTAAAATAATTTGAACCATATAAAAACCCTCTCAAGTAACATTAGCAGTTAAGTAATTACTTTGAGGTAGCCCTAGGCTTTTACTTGACATACAGTGGGTTAATAAGACTTGCCCCCTTGCCGAGGCAATTGTAACACTCTGACTTCTTGCATTTAATCAAATATTATAGTATTTTTCTTATAAGTGAAAATATATCAATTATATTATTAATTAGTGCACATATATGTGTTTCTTGTATCAAGAGATGACTTGTAAATGAAAATGTAAAAAATGTTACAATTGCCCCAGGTCTCCCCTACTTTTGGTACCTAAACCTAACTAAACTGCAGCCGCTTCACATCATCAACAAAGCCTCTGGCGCTTAACTTCCCATTGGGGTCACAGAATAGGTCACACATTTTGGTGTCACACCAGCTTGTTGAACATCCTTTGCTATAGACTCTTCTTCCAAATGTGGGGATTTTTAAATTCTGAAACTACAATAACGTTGCACCATTCACAGGTTAACAACGTAGCCCAAAGGTTATATTGTGTTAAATAAAAAAAAATGCTGTTAGGCTATCTGATAATAGCCTACAACTTTTGTTTAAGTCAGATTCATACGCTGGGGAGAGAGTAGCCTAGTTCGTCTGAAAGTTGTCCGCTGTATGTGAAGGCTACACTGCGCGGATTATGGGAACTCGATTTGGCTGTGAGGGGGACTCCGACCAGAGTTCACTCTCTATCAGAGTGGAAGTGGCGAGGGTCCAGTTTCGGAAAAAAAGGCGCTCTGTCTCCTCCCTCCTTTCAGGGCCAGACACGCTGTTTCATTTCCTCAGCGATTCATTCGGTCCGTATCACAGCGCGTATCAAAGCGCCTTAGCCGATGTTTAGCACACTGTGTGTCAGATCAAAATCCTCGTTGGATATAGCTAGGTTATTACCGGTAGTTTGTTACTCTGGACTATTATATAAAGTTACTGCTTTTACTTTTCAGTCCTTTCTTTGATAACCGGGTTTTGGCCTCACATTCACAACATCAAGTCACAATGAACCTCTGCATGTGCACACAAGACATCTGTCAGTTTGTTAGAGCAGTTCCACTATGTTTATTGCACATAATGCGAAATCTCAGTTTTATTGTAAAAAATTGGTATGACGGTTTAGATATGTAGGATCAATGAATAGGCCTAATTATCTTTATCACTCATGATGTGATTGGTTCACTGATGGAACATATTTCATGTCATAGTACTCCAGATTATATAGCCTATTTCTGAGGTTAACTAACAAATAAAAATGCTTTAAGAAAGGTTTATTTGCACAATAAGGAAACATGCAATGTAATTTAAATATAGAAGAAAGAAATGTGCGTTGTCCAAAAAGAGTAACTTAAATTAAAAAACAAGCAGCTGATTTCTGCATTATATTCTGTTATATTTTGAATTGTCACCTGCCAGCTGAATTTTTTGTTTCCCTTTGCAGAAATACAGACATTTTCACTGTAAACTGGAGGAGAAAATGTCTCCAGAATGCAGGAAATTAAATGTTTAATGCTCCAATTTTCAGCATTTCATATTTCCTCAAAATAGTGTTAAAAATCTTCTTCTTGTTCAAGTGTATCATCACACCCCTAATCTGAGCTATATATCCCCACCGTTCTTCAACAAAAAGTGATGCCCTTGATCTCAAGGTTCATCAACTCAGAGTTCAGGGTCAATCTTAGAGTCTATTAAAACTGCTGTCAGGAATAGACCCCAGGGCAACCTTTTCCCCCTCATGACATGCACATCACTACACAATTAAAGAATCCCTATTACTATGTTTGTGAAGCTCTGTCTAAAAACTGTTAATTCAACACTACTTAAATCTTTGGTGCAGCTGTTTGCAGTGCTGTTGTGTTAGATAAGTTTTTTCTGTAGGCAACCTGTGACTTTGTTCACTCTCTGTTGTCAATTACCAGTTTGAATTTAGCAGCACTGTATTTTTGGTTACAGAGCCATTAATATTATTCTACAGCTAAATCAATGAAATTTCAACAACTTTCCGTATTACATAAATGGCCCCTGTTTTTGTCATTTGTTTTGCCCATGAACTTAACTGATCTTCTCACACATTAAATAGTCAATGGAAGTAGCACCAAAACAAAGGAGACCAAAAGTTTTTTTTTTTTTGTTTAATCATGTTATTGATGAACAAAGTATTAATAATTTCCACATGAAGCTAGTTCCAAGTATTTAAACCAGAGTGATTTTTGGATATAGTTAATATGTGGACAGCAGATGGACAGGACGGCATGACAAGTCAGAGGCTGGGCTGGTCAGCAATAATGTTTCACTGAATATAAAGTTCCAGTTCTTAGGCGCGAGGTTATGCATACTGGAAGGACAGATGTAACACAAAACAATGCAGACACTAGATAATATCAGCTGTTCTCAGTAGGCTGTATTTTCCCAGAGACAAGGATGTATAAAACTAGGCCAAGCACAGGAATCGCTTAACTTTCACTTTAAACATTTCTTAAGATGCATTTTCAAAATGTCAGAATGAAAACCAAAAATCAATTTTCACAAAACTGCAATATCATTTTTTCTTCTTTACTTTAAATAGAATGTGATCCTATCCAAGTGCTACTAGTGAACAATTTGATTATTAAATCTAATTTCTAAATCATAACTTCTTTCTTTTACTGCCTGGCACTCCTGTAATGTTACATTAGTGACAGAGGGACGATCTGGTCATGTATGGAAGCTTCTTGTTCCCCCTGGCATGACACATCCATCTACGACTCCCCCTTCAGCACTGACACCAGGTCTCCACTCTCCTTCAGCTCCTTAAGTATGTCCAAACCCCCGATCAGCTCTCCTTTCACGTAGAGCTGGGGGTAGGTTGGCCAGTTAGAATAAGTTTTGAGCCCCTGACGCACCTCTTCATCCTCCAGAATATCAAAGGTGTCATAATCCACCCCGGTGGCGTTCAAAATCTCCAGCGTCTGCCTGCTGAAGCCACATCGTGCAGCCTCCTTGTTGCCCTTCATGAACAGCATGACTGGTTTTTGGTTGATGAGGGTCTTCAGACGGTGCTCCAAGGGGACAGCCTTTGGGCAAGTGTTCTCCAGCTCTCCAGACTCGGCCAGCTCCTTCACTATGTCCAGTCCTCCCACCAGCTCCCCATTCACATACAGCTGAGGGTAGGTGGGCCAGTTGGAGTAGGTCTTCAGCTCCCTTCGGACCTCCTCGTCGGACAGGATGTCGAAGCTGCTAAACTGGATGTTGTTCTCCTTCAGCAGGGCCACTATCTGCCGGCTGAAGCCGCAGCGAGGCTCCTGGGGGGACCCCTTCATGAAGAGCATACAGGGGGCCGCGTTGATCAGCTTCTTCAGCCGCTGGTTCAGGTCTGCGGTGCTACTTTGCGCAGCTCCACTCGGACTCCCGGTGACTGCCAAGCGCTGTACCTTCTTGGTCAACTCAGGAGCATGGGCCCCGTCCAGGCGGTCCACCTTCTCCCCTCCCTTGAAGAAAAGGAAAGTAGGGACAGAGGCGATTTCATACTTTTCCGATACCTCCGGCACAGTTTCCGCCTCCAGCTTGACAAACGTGGTGTGCGCGTGTTCCTTGGCCAACTCGGCCATCACTTCGTTCATGTGGCCGCACTGAGGAGCCCATGACGCCTGGAAATGCACAACGGTCAGGCATTTTCCAGCTTTGGCTAGGAAATCTTCAAACTGCTGGCGAGTTGTTGCTTCCACGACATTCGCCATTTTTGCTTTCCCCTGTGCAGCGGTTCCGGTGTCGGCCTGACGTCACATCCGTGCAGCCTGGTGGCTTCTAGCAAGTACCAGAGCTTGTACTTGGAAATTATTTGCATGGTTTTTGATGATAAGGAACAGCTGCATACACTGGATAGGTTGAAAAGGATAGTTTGACTTTTAAGGTAACCGTTGAACACCAAACTGGGGTCTTTATGAAAACGAAATGTTGTCTCTGGTATAAGCTTATTGTAACGTGTGGTTTATTTAGCATTAGCTTAGCCTCCTTACTAGCTAGCATAGCAAGTCAAAGTTAGCTTCGTTGCAAATGTAACGTTATGACTTGTTTCCAAATTAATCCTGCTAGCAAGCCAATGCAACCGAACAGTTGCTGGCCAACGTAATCCGCAATTAACTTTACAGTTAGCGTTAAACTACAGATCACTGCTGAAATTGTTGAATTAATGGAAAGAATTCAAATGTCCGTGCCGATTGGCCTAGCAGGATACAGCTAACCTACGCTAACTTAACTTAGCTAACGATAACCCTCTTAGCTATTAGTTAACTAGGTTAACATTATGATGCTACTTAGCAAGCGAACTTCACTGTTAACATTGACGACATAGTCCAGCGTTAGCTTCTCAGCCTCTGCTACTTTTTTCTGTTTAACATCTATTGTTTGGGTTAACGACATTCAACGTTACACATGCGATTTCCTTGATCGTTCACCAACTGCTTTGTTATTGTTAGTGATGTTAAGGAAGCATCCATTTGGCAGTTTCATGGATATGTAGTTATTTTCTCTGCATGGTTTTAATATTATTGTGCATGTTTGTGAAACTGACGTTTTTTGAAGGTGTAAGTTAATGATGTGTGGATTATTCATCTAGCCCAAGGATGGTCATCGAGTATATTCAGTGTCTTCAAACTCCTCGTTTTGTTCAAATGGAGTCCAAAACCAAAGACATGTTTGTTTGTTTTTTTTACAGTGATTTCAAAGAGGAAAGAGAAGCAAGTACTCGCACTTTAATAGCTGGAACCACTGAATGTTTGGAGGTTCTAATTTCTGCTTTTCTCATCTTTGTTTTTATAAAGTGAATATTTTGGAACTGTTTGTCCTACAAAACAAGCAATGTGAATACATAATCATGATGTTTCAGAAATTGTGATGGGCATTTTTGTTATTTATTTATACTCTAGCTTTAGTGGCTTCATGAAAAAATAGAGATTGATTGAGACTGGAAATAACTGTTGTAGTCTTTCATTCACATTTTCAGCTGGAGCTGTACCATTTAATCAGTTTGCCGTATGTATTGGCCAATATTAGCTTATTACAGACATATCATATCGGCATATATATCAGTCTTGGTCACAATTTTTAATAAGATTTTAAACTGTTATTATAGATGTCAAAAATGTTAATTGGCCTCAATAATCCAAATATCAGTTGGGATATAATTGCTTAAACACAATGTTTGCATGATACAGGAACGCCATGGAAGAACAAACTGCAGACATAGAGGTGACAGTCAAAACATTAGACTCCCAAAGCAGAACCTACACTGTTGGTGCTCAGGTAAAGTCATCAGTTCATTCTGCAAACTCTGGAGTTGAATCTCATTTTCAGTTGGTCATTTTGTAGTCTTACTCATGTCTTCCATCTTTTTTGTAGTTGACAGTGAAGGAGTTCAAGGAACACATTGCCTCTTCAGTGGGTATCCCCGTGGACAAACAGAGGCTGATCTACCAGGGCAGAGTCTTACAGGATGAAAGGACTCTGGCAGATTACAGTGAGTAATCAAGGGGTTCATTAAAGCAACACAGAACACTTTAATTTGGTTTCAAGGGCAATTTTAGATTTGTTTTTGCACTCCTTACTGTTTTGTTATTTCAGATATATATTACAAGTGCATGTTCATAAAACATGTTTTCTTATTTATATATCATTATTTGTACATTGATTCTTAACATTTGGGCTATACCCGTAAGTAAGCAGGGATTTTATTTTAGGGATGCTGTTATTCTGTTGGTAGATTTGTGTTGCTTTGGTGTTATTTTGCTGTTGCCACTATTGTGGAGGAAACTAATGACTGTGTTTTGCAGTCAGTAAGTTAGCTCTAAAGTTCCCACTTGAGCTCCAAGAATCCTTTTAAACAACTGTGCTCTGAGCTCACTTCACTTGTGTCTGTCAATATTTATTATATTGCCAGCAAAATTAATTGGACAAAATTGAACAGCCATTATCAACGTAGAATACAGCTAGGATTTCTTTTCTCAATAGAAAAGTGTGAAGTCAACACTATCATGTGTACAGATGTAACTGCAGTTCTCTGTTGTTGTCCCAGATGTGGGTGGCAAGGTGATACACCTTGTGGAGCGGGCGCCTCCTCCGCCCTCCCAGCCTGGCTCAGGGTCAGGTGTGACTTCAACCGACAGTGGACCCACTTCGTCCTCCCAGGGAACATCACAAGTGCCTCCACATGATCGCAACGCTAACAGCTATGTAATGCTTGGCACCTTCAACCTTCCTGTTAACATCATGGACCCCCAGCAGATACAGGTATTTCTGCTTTGTGACCTGTTTAGGGAACAAACTGGGGCAGTTATGTTGCATTGTGTTGGAAGAGAATATGGAATAAAAAAGTCCAACCATAATATAGGACTGCAATGTGGAATTAGCGGACAATATTTATCTTTTAGCCTAATCGTAATAGTATATTTTCATCATTTATTGTACAATTCCAACATACTACATAAGAATTACTATGTCAGATTTCTCCCATGGATCTCTGATTTCTGACGTGCCTGATCATAACGAACGTCTGGATTTTATCAGGCACAGCTCTGTACCGCGACCTGGTTTTGTTCTGTCCTCTGAATGGGTACGTTACCCCACAGGGAGCATTTAAGAAGCGGAGTGTTCTGCCTTCTTGATTTTGTTGACTTGCTCTGATTTTGTTGACTTTGTATTTGGAATCCAGCAGAAAGGGTAGTTTGAGTTCCATCTTCTCATCTTTCAAGCTGTAGTTGCTCATTCCATTCCTGAACAGATATCATAACATTTATATAGTGGAAGAATGTCATCTGGTTTGAGTATGTTGTCCAGCCTTAGTCATGTTTAATTTTATAATCTTCAGAAGATTTGTCTTGCATGTTAAGCGTTGTTCCCAAAGGTGCCTTAATTCGGTGTTGTTCTTCTTGTTTAGATGTCAGTTCAGCAGATGGTGTCTGGCATGGGAGAAAATGCCAGGAATGCCAGAGTCACAACCAGTACTGGGGTAAGATGCCTTCTGATAGCATACAATCCCATATAACCAGGGCTTGACATTAACACCCGCCAGATGTGGGTGGATTTCAGCCCTGGCGTGTAACACAATCACTGCCAGTAGCCACTTTGGGCATGTTGAAAAATTGTAGTCTTTTCAAAAGGCATCTGAAATAACAAACAAATTGCAATTTGACACTAAGACACTGCAACTCCTATGAGTATGCTACTACCAGTGTTTGCTCATTGGTCCATTGTGAAGCCTATTGTCTTGACCGACAACACTGTAAACACAGTCAGAGGGTTGTTTTAGCCGTTAATTATCAACTTAACCAGCGGCAGCGATAATATAGTGATCTTTTTTAATAGCAGGAGAATCCACACAACAGGTGCGTCTCTCTCTCTCTCCTGCAGTACCGCGGTGCCAGGGTGCACCAAATATGACATCCAGACTTTGGCAAACGAGAATATAAAAGTTAAATCTGTCACAGGGCAGCCACAGTCCCTTAGACCTGTAGACTGTCAGCCTGCTGCCTGCCTTTAACCTGATGGTATGATCTGTCATCACACATGACTGGTCGCATGCACACACACTTTAGTACAGCGGTAAGTCCGTGCGTGAGTGTGTGTGGCCGAACAGTTTGGAAAAAAATGCACAAGAGAATGAGAAAAGGCAGAGCTGAGGCGGATGAAAAGGCAGGAGGAAAGAGTTGTTAAATGCGGTAAAATTGAAGATATCTTCATTCCAGAGTTAAATTCTATTTTTTAATTATAGCAATCATGCCATGTAAGAAAGCAGGAGATGCGTTTGTATGGGAATAATCTGGAAAAGAAAGACCTGTGTACTCGTTTCAGGTGGACGTATCTCCAGTTACTCAGAGCAACCAGGGCTTCATGATGAGAAACATAAATCCAGTCAGAGCTCTGAGGAAATGCAGAATCCAAAGTGCCCAAAAATGATATAGGCCTACATAAAGCTTTAATACTGTTGCATTAGTTGTGGATTTTTTCTTAGACAGTAATTTATTCTTTGCTCTTTGTTTCTAATGCAGATAATTTTTCTGCTCTTTATTACAGTATTACTGCTGTTAAAATAAATAAGCCGTGTTCTGATGATTTGTTTTCAGTTTAGTTTTTATCTTTTCAATTATTCATTAAGACCCATGCAGCACTTTTAGTATATACAATAAGAAGCTACTCTTTTCATTTGTTCATCTTAGTAGACTACGTTTTCAAAAAAAGGAGCTTCACACACAACATTATCAGAGCTAATGATAATGTTAGTGCTTTTTAGCACGGCGATTTAAGCATGCTATTGTCAACTTTAATCATATAAAACTTTTTTTCCAACAGCAAAAATGTGGCTAATGAAAATGCTGCGTGGCTAGTAAAAGTTTGGGTCAAGCCCTGCACATAACATTATCCAGTGTTTTGTTGATCGTCAGCTTTTCTATTTCAGAGCAATGGGTCTGTGAATGTGCACATTGATATGGACCAACCAGTGCAGAGCGAGCCTAGGCTGAGGCTAGTGCTGGCTGAAAACCTGCTGAGGGACATCAATGATGTTGTCCACAGAATGGAGGTGAGAGCACAACCTTCAAATTACTCCAGTTGCAAGGAAGAGAAACGTCTGCCTCATCAGTAACAAATTTGCTTCAATTTTCAGGCTCGGCCGAGCGACTCATCCTCCCAAACAGAGACAACTTCTGCTGCTTCTGCTCCCCCTCCTCCCTCATCTTCGTCTACCACCTCCACTCCCTCTCCTTCTGCGCAGCCCATGGACAC